ACACGGTGGGCCACTTACATCATCAAGTAGTTTAGGATTAGGTGATGATCCTGGCCATAGGAACTTCCATTTTCTCCACACTCCAAAAGGTAAAGCAGACTGTATTGTGATGCTGAAGGGAAAAGGCCTCCAGATGAAGTTACACTAAACACTGTATTTTCAGTTGAAAGTCTTGGAAACAGTGGTACATTGTTAATCCACAGCTAAATTTATTTTTTAATTAATGGAGAAGGGAAAGGATTGATAATCCATTCTTGTCCCTTTCAAAGAAACCAGCAGAGACTTTAATGGTCATATAGGGTAAATGTGACAAAATTGAAGATTTAGGTTTCTCTTTTAAGACATTTGCTGAATTCTCAAGATGCCTGAAGAAGCAAGTTAATAAGTAATGTCAGAGAATTTTCTTCATTTACTCTTTGCAAAGGACAGAAGCATCCTCCGAGGATAGGGATCCTAGTGAATAATTTGGAAAATTGCAAATTCTAGGGTCAAAGACAAAGAACCAACCAGAAGTAGACTGAGTTTACTCAGAATCAGCTCAGCTTAGGAATGGAATATTATGATATCAAGCCCCCTTTTCTGTTCCTAAACAGAGGTAGGTAATTGTGTTGTGTTCACAATGTATTCATTCAGTTAGAGCCATTAGACACCAAATTAATTGATTACCAAGGGATGAAACCTCAGAAGGTGATCCACTTACTGGAGTTAGCAGACATATACTCTAAAGTAATAATGATTAATATGTTGATAAAAAAAACAGAAGAGAGAAGGAGAAAATAAGTAAAAAAGGAATTTAATCATAGAATTGAGATACCTATAAAAAGTAATTACAAGTTAATTCTATAACTGATGACATAATACCTAAAATTAAGAACTTGTTGCTTGGGTTACTGGCAGAATGGACTCAGAAAAAGGCAGTGTAAGTAAAGTGGGAGATAGTTCAAAAGAAAATACAGTAACCAAATACATGAAGAAATAAAAAAAGACTGGAAAATAAAGAAAAGAATATGAGAAACACAAAGTGATAATAGTGTATAAAGCAAATAGTGAAAAATCTTAAATATATGAAATTGGTGAAGAAAAAGAATGGGATGAAAGAAATATCAAAAGAAACAATGACTGAAAATTGAACAAAATTAATGGAAAAGATTGATAAATATTTTTAGAGAGCTTTACAAACCTGAAGCAAGATAATTACACAGTAATTCATATATAGGCACACACTGATGAAACTGTTGAAGAACAAAGAGAAAGGAAAAATTCTTAAAAACAGCTATAGAAAAAAAGACTACTTTCAAAGGAGCAACCTTAAGAATGACAGCAGATTTGTAACAGATATCTTGGAAGCCAAAAAGACAAGGAATGCGGGAAAAAAATTAGATAATTGCCATCCTAAAATTGTATGCTTGGTGAAAAATGTCTACTCTATGATTCCATGTATATAAAGTTCAAAATCAGATAAAACTAAGCTATGTCAATCTTAAGGCTGTATTCCTGGAGGGGAAATGAGTAGGCTTTGGGATACTGGTAATATTCTGTTTCTTGATCTGGGTTCTTATGTCACAGCTGTATGTGTCCATTTTATGGACATTCTTTGAATTCTACATTTATGACTGGTTCTCTTTTCTGTGTATATATATATAGTTTACTAAAATGTTGACATGAAAGTAAGAGAAAGAACAAGAATTCTAGTCTGCTCAAGACACCTGTTCCTACATACTTAAATCTGAATTTATCTGAAACTCACTGGAGGCTGCTTAAATTGATGGCTTTTGGAAGTTTTCTCATTCTGATCACTATATCTGGCCAAATAGGAGGGAATAAGAGCAAGTGAGGAAAGGAGTGGCTTTAAAATGCCAACAAAGAGGACGTCCTTAGCAAGTTTTCTTTTTCTGCTGCCGTTGACACCTTTCTGAGCTGAGGTTTAAATATTGATTGGGAAGGTATCTTTAGAGAATTATCTATCCAGACTTTTGTTTTACATCAGGCTAATCCTGGACTGAAATTAAAGATGTATATACATATAAAATAAAGATATGTATTTAAAATTTAAGCATTTTCCAGGGATAGTTTGAGATCGTCTGTGTATTCCAACCTTACCACTTTTATGGCTCCTAGGTATTGTCTCTTTCCCATTAGGAGCCCTGATATGAGGGATGTGTCTTACATATGATCAGAGTTTCCACTAGTTGTTCTGAAGCCACTTTGTTTTAGAGGTCACAGCTCTTGCTGTCCATAAAGTGGTGTCTTTCCTTGTTCCACCTGTGTTGCTGCTGATCTCCACATTTCTGGTGATATTTTTTCTTGGGAAATAGGGAAGTGGTTCCCACATAATTACCTCCAGGTATATAAATCTGTTTCTATATATCTGAATCCTATTTAAAGTGTTCAAATTCTTTCTCAAGAGGCTGGTGGGGTCCCTGTGAATCAGGGAATGTTCCTTAACATTCCTAAGTAAAGAATGTCCCTAAATATTTTATGAATTAGGATACTTCCTTGCCAAATGCCAAAAAATCACTGTTTTTACAAACAGTATATCAAAGTCTTAACTTTGTACTTTCCAAGATTACAAAATAAATGTGAAAAATCTATTTGCAGGGCACGCAAAGGATAAATCAATGGAGAGAGTTGTAAAAGCAGCATCTTAAATTTCAGTCCATGATTAGCCTGACATAAAAAGAAAGGCTGAATAGATAACTTCTCTAAAGATACCTTCCCAATCAATACCTCCATATTCAAACCTCAGCTCCGTCAGGTGTCAGTGATAACAGAAAAGGAAAATTCGCTAAGGACACCCTCTTTGCCGCAAATATTTAAGCCACTAATTTTCTCACTTACATTATTTTCTCCTACTTAGCCAGATATAGTGACCATCATGAGAGCTCCTCCAAAGGCTATCAATTTGAATTTCAACCAATGATAAGAAGAAACACTAAGAAATACTGAAAATCATTCACATTTGTCTACTTAGATCTTTATTTTCTAGAACTGTCAAACTCTACTATTCTTGTTTATCTAAGATATTGAAGTGAATTGCATTCATTTGTGCATTTTTTTTACCTTCAGCTCCAGTTTTGGGAAAATTGTTTGTGATAGGTTAAGTTCTGGTGTAACAGAACATCCTAAAAATGCAGTGATTTAAAAAAAGTTTCATTTCTTACCTAAGCAAGTAGACAGTGTGTTTGGCTGATGCTTCAGGAGATCTGTCTTCTATATAATGGCTCAGCCTCACACTTCCATATCATTTTTTGCTTTCATGACCACACTGCAATGGTGAAAGGACTAGAGAGTCTCAAAATTAAAGGATTCATCCTCAAAGAGACATGGATCATTTCTGCTCATATTTCATTAGGAACATAAGCCAATGGCCACATGTAACTTTAAGAGGGCAGAGAAGTAAGTGTCAAAACCCTGAAAGCTTGTTCTAATAGAACTAGTAATAAAGAAGTATGTGGAGTAACTCATATTTTAGACCAGTCACCCAATCTTGACCCAAGTCCTTATCTCTAATATAAAGAAAAAAGAAATACTTAAACATGAAGAAAGTCAACACCAGGTAAGAAAAAACAGTTTTCTACTCTGTTAGTGATGAATTCTGAGGACAACCTTAGCTTAAGCTTTGTAGGAAGACTGATTTAACAGGTCAATGATGTCATCTATGAGCACAAGAAAAAAGTACTGTGTTACAAATTGACTTATTGACCCCATTTCCAATCTTTCTGCATCCATATCTTTGCATGGCCACTCTATCATATGACACAAGGTTGGCTCTGTCACTTGTTTTGGCCAATAGCATGTGGTTAAAAGTGTAGTTTATAAGCCAACGCCTTGAAGTCCTCCTGTGTCTCCACTTGCTCTCCCACATCTCTTCCATTCTCGTAACTCTCCCCAAGCAGTGCTCTGGTCACAGGAGGATGAGAGATACATGAAAGGGAACCATCCTGGTCCCCACAGTCTGAAGCAGAGCTACCTCAGGCATCCCACAGACCTACAGGAAATGAGAAGCGAGACCACAAAGCTGAGCCTGGCCTACCTCAGCGGAACTCTGCTAGCCGCCAGAGGCAGAACAGCTACAAACGGATTGTTGTTTAAAGCCATGGAATTTCTGGAGAATTTGTTATGCAGCAAAAACTAATCAAGAACTAAACTAATACATGGTACAAGTGCCAGCTACTGGCCATTCATAAATTAGAGTGGATTAAATAAACAACAAAATCTAGAAAACAAAAAAAGAATGAGAGACCATCACAGAAAGAAAAAGAAAGAAAAAACATTCTTGAAGAGGATTAGGAAAGAAAAATAAGAATAATAAGAATGAATATATTTAATGTGATTATTTTATAACTTTCAAGATACAGGAACTAAGAGTATAGGTCCAGGTTTGTGAGTATATGAAAAAATTTCAAGGTTACAAAATTTAACATTTTTATATAAGAATTGATTTCATTTTAAAATCAGAAAAATCATGAAACTGGAATGGTATCTTATAATATACATGAGTGACCATTAATAATCAGTCTATAAAATTTTAAACGAACATGATGCTTTTTACAAAACCCTGTTGTATTAGAATTAAGGGGATGTCTGAGTTTTGAAGGAGGTGATATTTGGAAAAACTATTATTTCTAACAGTAAAATCATAGAATTTTGTGACTTAATGGAATACGTAAAAATATAAATAGATTCTTTCAGATAAATTTCAGAATGACAGTTTTTCAAATGAGATATTTATGAAAGCTAATTCAAAGTATCTTCTGCAGTGGAGAATGATACCAAGAGGGTAGCCAGCTCCTAGCTAAAATACATAGAAACATTGATTTGACAGGTGAGGCCAACCCAAACTTACATTTTCAGGAGTAGACAAGGGTGAAAGCAAATAAAAAACATAGTGAGAGGTCAGGAGTGCCTGGGGATTAACAGCTGACGACTTGGTCAAAGTGACCCCAAACTGACTTTCTTTTGTAGATGATACTAAGAGACTCAAGCCCAAAGATTCTCACCTTCCCTTGCGTCGGGGTCACTTGGGATGCTTTTTAAAATGCAGATGCCCAGACATCGCCTCACATTCCATGGGTCTGATGTTGGTATTTTTTAAAAGATCTCTATGCCATTTTAAAGCATAAATAGGGTTAATAATCATTAGGACTTTGACTTATTTCAAGTACACATAAGTCAATTAATGATTAATTACAGTTACCAACTCTCTAATCCCAGGCTGTTCCTAGTCTCATTGCTTTCAGTCTGATTGGGTCAAGGGGTCTGATAATCAGAACCTGGAGGAATTGTCTGTTGTTAAATATTTACAAAGTAACCCAGTGATATTTCTGTAAATGGTGCCTCACAGTAGTCAAGGTGGATTACATAGCAAATACAGGCAAAACATTAACAGTTAACCCCCCTAAAAATCTGCCATATTTGTAGAAATGATTATGCAAAAAGTACAGTTTTATGAATCAGAGTACATGTTTAGTTTCAGCATTATGCTATGTAAGGAACTGAAGAACAGAAAAAAACCTCTAATCTCATAGGTTTAACTTTTGCAAAATAGAACACATTTTAAATATATATAACATAATATTGAAGCTATATTTACAGGTGATTTATAAAACAGTCACAGAAAAAATATTCGCTAAGTACTAAAATCCAAGTACAGGAGCTGGGTACATGGGATACAAAAGAGCAAGACTGGCCCTTCTACTGAAAACAAAGAAGGATGGAAGGAAAGAAAGGGGAGAGGGAGGAAGCGAAGAGTAAGAATTCTGAGGGAAATCAAGCAAATAAAACAATGAAACAATTTGAAACTTGCTACTTGCCAACCTTGCCATTTGATTGAAACCATTACATTAGAAAACTTCTTTTGGAGTTATTTTCTGTAAACGTTGATGTGCTTGCAACTACAGAAAATCTCCATTCCTCCTACAGTTAATTGTAGCCTACAAAATAGCAGTCATAAGATAAGTAGTAAGATCCTTAGCATTTTAGCCAGAAAAAAAAAAAAAAACAGTTTAACAATGAAAACTGTGCTATCCCCGTTTCTTTTCCATAGGACGATCTATCTGATTCTCATCCACATTTGGAAGTTAGTCATCTGCCTATAGGGGAGAAATCCATCCTCCTCCTCTGGCTGCAGCTGGGCAGGCGATAGAACAACTGGGCAGTAGGCAGCATGAGCAGAGGGAGCCCACATTTCCTGCCCAGAGAGGGTAGGAAAGAAAACAGAAATAGAAGGTTTTTGTTGTTGTTTAAACCAGAAATGTCCAAGTGCCTTTGTTATAAAACAACAGCATTGATTTCCTGTTCCGTAACTTGTGATTGGTGGATTATTTTTACATTTATCTTAATGAGGTTATACCTTGCTCTGAGATTTAATAAGCCATTTTCCTGCCTAGGAAACAAACAAAATATTCTCTCTAATTCCATTTCTTCATTGACCTTGGCAAACCTGAACGAGAGTGGTCTGGGTTACACATTAACCTGTGTGTCTAAGATTATGTGCAAGCAAGCAGTCAGGCTTTGTTAATGCTGAGGAATTCTTTCCTGTGAGACTTGCTTCAGTGTTATTTACTCACTTTTATTTGTACCTTGAAAAGTCACATTTCCCAAACTGTGGAGGAAAACTTCTCAAAAAAGTAAATATCTAATTGGCCTTGAACAATGCATCTCAGATCAATTTTGACAAAAAGTCTTGTGTGGGTGAATAAAAATTAATGGAAAATGATTCATTGTGGGCATCAAATATTCAAATTAATAAAGAACATGGCCAAGTAGACACAATTATCTTATTTTCAGTTATTACCTGCATGCTGCAGTGGACAAAGGAATTTGGAACCTGTCCTTTATTGCTGCCATGCTGCTTCAGGCGCTGGTTTGGGAATTAAGGATTCATGTCTCTACATAATGATATATGATTAGCGCTGTGAAAGTAATTGAACTCATTCTACGCAATCCCTTGCAGTGTCAGCAAGAAGCTGAAACAAACTGTGTCATTTAACAGAGTTACGTTGTAAGTGAAAAAAGCCTCTGATCCCTGCACTATTAACTTCCTAATAATTTTAGTTTCTCAAGATTAAATGAGAAAATTAATATAATAGACCATGTAAATGTGCATTAGAGAAATAAAACAATGCAAAGGCACTAAAAAGATGGGAAATATAAGGAAATTAACAATTGCTCTCAAATATAATAAGAGACAAGTGTCAGGCTGTTAAAAGCATGATTGTTGTAATGAGTGGCTGAGGATGGTAAATGTACAGCTGTTGCAAAGATTAATTGTATAGTAACAGAATACTTGTTTTGCTGTGCACTCTACTAAATTATATTACATTGAGCTCATAAGGTATCTTGGAACGTGAAGTAATGATATTGACAAGTGTTTTACATAAGAAAATTCTATGACCTAAATCATTTACCATAACTTTATACTTCAAAAATTTCAACAAATTGGCTCTATTATTATGAGATTTCTGAATTTTCTTCATGAAGTGTATGAAATATCTTAGTAATCATTTAAAACCACAATAATTTAGTTGCATTTTATGCATTAAATTCACAGTGATCACATTTTGGAAGTAACATGTTCTCTTTGAAGTTCACTAGCTCCAAACACCTTTTTATTCTGAGAGCTTTGTTTCATCAAAATGTTATTGTATTCACTGCATAATGATGAGTTGCATTTCAAGTAATTTTGTGAAATTTGGTGAGTGTTCCTCTTGGATAAGTGCTGGACCATATTTGGTTAATTACTGGACTCACTGACCTTCAGGAAAAAAAGGAAAAATGGGAAATTGCTTCATAATTATTCTCAAATGAATTTTTTGTTTGTTACAACACCATCTAATCTAAATAAAGCTTCTTGTACAATGTAGAGCATAGAGCAGAAAGGAAAAATAGTATCGAAATAGAGACATCACTGTATCTATGTCTGCCTGGTATTTCTTCTTTAAAAGAGACTATAAATAAAAATAGATTCCAGTCACTCATTCACAACTTTCTGAAAAGAATGTATATTCGTTTGTGGCAGGGAACTGGGTTTATTCAGTGAGGTTTTATTTATAGTACTTTGTTTTGATAAATTATGAAATTTCTTTTTCACGTCTAAATCAATACCATCTCACTTGAGTTCCATTCACATTGGCAAGTGAATGCTAGTTCTACCAAATGTGAATTGAGAATCAATATATTTGAAATATCAATATATTTGAGCTGATAAATTACTTTGAGAATTGATCTCAAACACCAGCCTCCTGCATGCTTGGAAACTCTTCTTTGTGTTTACTACATGTCTGATGGCTGGCTAAATAAGCATTCTTCAGCCTAACAGATTAAATTGACCAGACCGAAGATGCTAGCCATTCACTTTTTGTTAGTGATCAGAGAAGTTTTGTTTCTCCCTGGATAGATTTAAATGAAGCATTCACCTTTTATTATTAGAGTTCACATGATACTGCAGAATTCAGATGCTTTAAATTTTATTCTTTGGGTTTTTCTGCCTTCTTTTTATTTGTGTGTTTTTGGTTTATGCCGGAGCGAGGTTGCTATACAACTAAGCTTTCACTATTTTTAATAAACCCTGGCCCATTGAATTTGGATCAAAGTTTGATAGACATGAGCACCTTCTGGCTAGTTCCCTTGAAGATTCATATTTGAATAATAAAAGAGACTAATGTGAAGTGTTGATAAATTTTTATATTACTGAACTATTCTTATAAAGAAGGAAACAGAATAGCATTATATTAACTGTATTAGAGAAATACTTTTGGTTTAACTTTCTATAAATATTTCTTAAAGTGCGGTTGAGTTTTCTCCATACTCTCAAGAGTAGTTATTTTACTTGTGGAATTCTAACACCTCAACACAGTTTTACTTATTAAAAAATGAGCAGACTAATTTAATTAAAAAGTATATTGTTGCTGCTGATATGGATGGCTGTCAAGGGCATATCTTCACAGACACAGTATCATTTTGAGATGGTGAATCTGGTGGTGGAATATTTAATAATATGCCATAGTCAATTGACTTTTCCATTATCTCTGCTGTTGAAATTATAAAGCAAGCTTTTCTAGATCTTTTGTTTTTCATCAAAGTAATGGCCAGGTACACAAATGAGCTGAAATTCTTGAATAAGTTTATAGATATAATATAAAAATGTATGCAAAGAACAACCAAAAAAAGGTCTATTATATTTGGTTCTAGAATCATGACAAATTCCAGAGTATGAAAAACAGGATGTTGAATCCTAGAAGGCAGAAAATTCAATATTTGGACAATGTAGTACTTCAGCAACAAGAAACATAGTGAGACATTTTGAAATTCCCATACTTCTTTATATGCCCTTGTATCCTTACCTTACTCAAATATATTAGTTGTTTACTTACCTTTCTTCCCTTTCTCTCTGCCTCCTACCTATTTCCAAAGATGTGCCAATGGCATTACAATAGGGTTTTGTTTTCCTCATGGTTCTATGCCCAGCAGTGTTCAACAGATTACCTTTCATTTAATGGTTCACAAATAAGTTTAAATGATATTGATGAGATGAACATCCATGAATTCAAAGCTGAAGTGTGAAGTCCACGACAATGCACAGAAACCAAAAAGAAGGAAGATAATCAGAAAGCAGTATGGAAAATAAATGAGAAACAGAAGTTCTAAAAAAAAAAAAATACAAACAAGCAGACAGGCTTCAAGATAGTTGCATCAAATGGCAGATCGAGACAAAATGCGCATTTGTTTCATTCAGTACTCAAATATTAGTCATGATAAACACTGAGTGACAGACTTAAATATTAAGACAGACAACTTCCCTGACTTCCTGCAGTTTGTTGCCTAGTGGAAATCATAGTGAAGAAATTAAATAATGTGCTTGCATAGGTAATAATGGGTGGACAGGGGCAACAACAGTCAGCCAGGATTGCTGTAAATAGATGACATTTATTCTGAAATCTGAAACATGAGAAAAAAGGAAGAACCACTCAAAAAGCACAAAGACATACATTCCAAGCAGAGTGAACATGCATCAGGTTCCTGAGCTGTGAGAAAACTAGGAACATCCAAGGAACTTGAAATAAAAGTCATTGAGACCAGAGGAGTGAGTGAGATGGAGTTTGGCAGAAGATGAAGTTGGAAAAGGAGACAGTGGCAAGATAGTGCTATGTGAGAAACCAAGGTAAGGATTTTATTCCAGGTACAATGGGAAAATTTCACACTAATTCCAAGTGCAGCAGAGGTCATGATCTAATTTAACTTTAAAAACACATATACACACATCCCTCTGGTTGCGTGTGAAAATTAGATTTTAAGGGAAACCAGAGTGAAAGTAGGAAGGCCAGTTGGAATGCTGTAGAAGCATCTCTGATACGAGATTATGGCAGCCTCCATTTGGGTAATCTCAGTGAAGACAATGAAAAGTAGAGCTCTTTGAACAGCATTTGCTGATGGATTAGATGGTGGAGATGAGAGTGAGGAAAGTGAAGACCCTGGGCTGACTATTCGGTTCCTGGCTTGAGAAACTGGTGAAAGTTAATGCATTTACTAAGATGGGGAACCCAACAAAAGAGAGGGAAAACCAAGTTTGGATGGAAATATAAATCAGTAGTTTACTTTTAGATATGTTCATGTGAAGATGCCTATTCGAGGAGCAACTGGACACATCGGTACATGTGTCTTTGGAGATCAGAGGAGGATGTCTGGGCTGAGAGATTAATTTAGAAGTCACCAGCACAGTATAGTATTTAAAGAGAAGTTGTATGAAATCATCCACATAGAGAAGAGGCAAGGTAAAGAAAAGATCCAAGTACCTACCACCAGCAATCAGAAATGTCTACCCTATTGCTGTAAGCTATTTTGCATCTACCCTAGGCAGACTTCTTAGACGTTTCCAACTAGGCTCAGCTACATCTAACAGCATAGTTTGCACAGGATCTTACAGTGGAAACAGGAGATTCATTGCTCATTGACTAGGGGACATAAGTGGCTGGAGAATAATACCAAATATTAATCATCTGAAGGTTTTGTCTTAGTGCTGGCAACAGAGCTTGTGATTAAGAAACATCATGGTATCTGACTAACTCCAAAGCATAGTCTTCAACCTGGGCAAAAGAAAAGCTCTCCTCTGTGTAAGCATTTAATCTTCTAAAAGTCTTAAGATTCCTGGCTAAGATTCCTGTCTGCATTTAGTTGAAATCACTAAAGGAATGTTAGTCTTTTGCATTCCCACGTCACATACTCTGTCTTTCCCACTTCCCACTGGACATGGGTTCCTTCACTGATCAACATCATTCTCAGAAATGGTTCCAAAGTTAATTTTGACCTGGGTTGAAGTGAATGATAACTTTTAAAATACTATCTTTCCTTGAGGAATTTTCAACAAAAATTTGGAAAATTATGGTGACATTGAGAACATTAAAGCCTTCGATAGCAGAATTTCAGGCAATTGAATTTGGAAGAATTTAACTAGAGTGGACGAGGGAGAAGGGAATTTATGGTACTAATGGTAGCATTAATATGTTCAATTAAAAAACACATTTTGAAAGTAGAGACTACAGATTTTGCTAAAATGTGTATCTTAGAGATCTCATCCCCCTAATTGATTATAAAGTCATGGTACCATGACTCACCTGAATTCTATATAAAGGTACAAATGAGATATGAAACTTTTTCCAAGCAAAGTTGACTGTTTTTTTAAAACCACTGAATAGTAAGTCTCTCATAAGGTAAAAACAGTGAACATGCTTATGGTTTGTTTTATATTTATGTATTTATTTTTCTTAATAAATCCTAAAAAGGATTTAAGATTATTTTACAGCACCGTCCCCTTAGGAGAAATAAAAGCAGCAAACACCAGGTTAAAAGTAGAGCAAAGGCCCTATTAGAAACACATTCAAGGCAACACAGACAATAAAGCCATTGGCTGGGGTAAAATTTAACTGACCTTTTCAAGATTGAAAGAGCTCTTCAATCAAAATGTTTCTCTCTCAGTAGAAGAAGAGCTCTGCATTGAACTGACTTAACAGCTAAAACTACTGAAGTAGCTCTCACCGGGGAAACATAAGCTAAAACAAAAACGACAACAATAAAAACCCACCACAATGGTGGTAAGTAGACTTGTTTGGTTTTATTTTTCTATTTCAAAGTGTACAACAGATGAGAGGATTTTTTTTTTGAGTAAAACAAGTCTGATGGACAAACAATATTTAGGAATAACGTTATTCCTTACTCCTGTTGTAAGTTTACACAGTTGTATACCCTTCTCACTAGACTTTAGACTTCTCTTATGAAATATTCAAATAAAAAGACTGTTTTTGACACAGAAGGATATTTATGGTTCATGCTAATGCATATCACTCTCAGGATCACTAACCTGCCTTTGGGGCTGAATGCACTAGTAAGAGTTCTGCTGTAAATGAGTCATAGTCAATATGTTAGTTTTGCTTCTTGGGAAATGGAAGAAAATTCTCTGGAATTTGAAGATATATTGTTCATCCTGGTGAAGTATCTTTCAGTGGCTCTATTTTGTTTTCCAAGCTCTTGACTACTGTGGCCATAGCCATAGCAGATGCACAGGGGTATCAAGTTAAAATCAATGGAAAGTTTGAAATGATTCAACAAGATGAGATCGGCCTGTCATCTTAGTTTTAAAACGATGAATACCAAAAATTATTACTTCTACTGATTCAGGCTGGGACAAATTTGATTAGTGCACAAATCCCTCACAAAGAAATGTTAAAAGAAGCCTTGAGTTGTGGGAAGTGAGTCAGTGGTCACACAACAGACCAGCTCCATTGTTAATTTCACACTTGAATAGTACCACATAGTTAAACATTCACACACATGAATTCAAACTACACCAGACAACTGCATTCAGTAATACCCAAAAAAGTAAGTTGAGTTAAAAGAAAAAGAAGATGAAAACTATAGAAAACAAGGCTTTCTGTCCCAATAACTTTTACCAAGCTATTTATTTATTGGATTTGATCATAATTTATGTAAACAATGTGAATCAACAGTGAGATCAAAGCTTATGTAATCTGAATGAACTAAAGCCTCAAAGTAATTTTCCAGGTAATTCTATAAGTGACTATTCATTCCTCTTGCCTGGAATCCAAGTTAGGGTAAAAGTACTCTCTTCTCTGTTTTTCTATCCCTATTGTCAATTATTTTTACAGTTTGCTTAATTCTTCACTTAGACAATACAGATCTCTCCCAATTATGAAGTATTCTCTAATAATTTTGTCAACTTTAAAAGCCATGTGAAGTATTGAATAGATAGACCAGGAGATCACTATTAAAACAGTGGCCTGTGTTGTGAATAATTATTAATACAACCACTTACTGAACTGTTAAATAAATGGACAATACCAGTTTATAGGGGTACCAGCTTAGGAAAAAGTATAGCAAATGGGAGAAATAACTCAGAAAAAAACTTGCTAAACAAATACGTTTTCCAAAGTAATATATAAATAAATTTAATGTAAGTTTTCACTTGACTGTTAGCTGTTTTCAATATGAAACATAATTTGTGCATGTACACACACACACACACACACACAGCTTCATACATTTGTCTTTTGATTGTGCCTTTTTCTTAGGCCCATCTGTTTCAGGCCCATCAATGAAATCTTTGAGTGGCATAAATTTTCTAGTCATCAGATGTGAGTAATGAACTTATGTTCACTTGACATCTCACTTTCTTTGTACAAGGAAACATACATTCTAGTCTAGATCAATGTCCTCTCTTCTAAGCTAATACCTTCCACTTTTCCCCATCCGTCAGATGAGTGCATGTTGCTAACACAAGCAATAACACAAAACAACTACAAAATGAAAATACTGGTTAAAAAAAGAAAAGGCACATCCCTCTCAAAGCTAATTGTTACTGACTTGAGAATTTTTCAAGTCTGCCAAGCAAATCCATTTACCAAAATATAATTGTAACCATGATAATTCAAACCCAAACACTTACTTGCTGAAAGCAAAGGTAGAAAATATTTGACTCAGTTTTCTTCTTCAATTTATGTATACAAACATAGTCTAGGGGTATGTAAGTTGTCCCTGTGAGAACAGCGCCATTTTAGTTGGAAAGTACTTTCAAGAGGTTGGGCAATAAATGGGGTAACTTACGGAGCAGGCTAGGAGAGCCACAGAGAAAAGTGTAACTATGAGATCTAAATAAAGCAAAAGTAATTCAGTGGACTAAATTCAGTAGAGTTTCTAAAACAACTTTTTTGAATAGATTTTCTAGTGGACCTGCTGCCTCCTTGCCTAGAATTGTGAAAAGCTAACTAGCCCATACCAAATCCCACCTTAGATGAACATTATTAAGATTTATGAGTATATTTCGAGCTGTTGTATTTACCATTTGATTTATAATTTGTGTACTGAATTTTCTAGTAATATTCAGGGTGCAAGCCTTCATAAGCAAAGAACATATTATTTCAAATTATTTTCCATTGAAACAAAAAACATCCAAAGGTGGGATTGAAATAATGCTACATTGTATACCATTCCCTGGCTTGTCTCTCTTCCCCTTCCTCCCACATCTCCCTGTGCCCGTGATCATTTCCATAGCCCATCCTGCAGGCATATTGTGCTTTTACATACTGTGCTTTCATTATGCACCTTGCTGCTGCAATATTTTTGATCTATGTGCCCACTGTGTTTATGTTCCATATATTTTCATGAGAAATCAATGATGCTATTTGTTTTCTAGAGGGATACAGAGGGCTGAGGGTTTAAGGGAAGCTGTTGTCTAATCTGGCAATATTTACAATTAGAGAAATTTAATACTCCATTCTTTTGTTGGTAAAATCACAGAATCACCATTATGATCTTGTTTAACTAACAGGAAGCTTCAAATGCTTTTCTGACAGTGGAAAGATCTTTGAATATTGGGCCAAATAGAGAAAGCTATGAGAGACGTAATCAGCTATCATTTGATATTTGCGGAAGTTGTATGGCCCCAAAGAGATTAAAAAGAATATGAAGTAAATGGAGGATCCTCAAATTTAGAAGATCATCATTTATAAAGAAGGCCAATTAAATATGAAAAGCCAAAGAAATGTAGAGTCTAATAAAATAATGTAGTATCATCGGTGGGAATTTCAGATTTCTGTGAGTAAATCTGGAAATGGACTTCTGGGGTTACTAGGGCTATTCTTCTAGGTGCAAGAGATTATAAATAGGACTTCGGGTGTCCCATCAATGTCACGAAAAATGGTCCAGTGAATATTCTCTCAAATGTCTCTTGTCATTATGCCAACATTACCAAATGAGAAGATATCCTCCAAATTGCTTGGAATGACACCATTGCTTATTTAACAAATAAGATCCCTTAAACCCAGAGGAGATGTAAAATTAAGTATAGAAAGGCCTGAGAGGATCAAACATATGGTGTGATATTTTTGTATTAAGATAGCTGGGGACACAAGAACAGAGTCACAGACCAGTGGAACAGAATAGAGTCTCCAGACATTAACCCAAACATATGGTCAATTAATATACGATAAAGGAGCCATGGACATACAATGGGGAAATGACAGCCTTTTCAACAGCTGGTGTTGGCAAAACTGGACAGCTACATGTAAGAGAATGAAACTGGATCATTGTCTAACCCCATACACAAAAGTAAATTCAAAATGGATCAAAGACCTGAATGTAAGCCCTGAAACGGTAAAACTCTTAGAAAAAAACATAGGCAAAAATCTCTTGGACATAAACATGAGCGGCTTCTTCATGAATATATCTCCCCAGGCAAGGGAAACAAAAGCAAAAATGAACAAGCGGGACTATATCAAGCTGAAAAGCTTCTGTACAGCAAAGGGCACCATCAGTAGAACAAAAAGGTATCCTACAGTATGGGAGAATATATTCATAAATGACAGATTCAATAAAGGGTTGACATCCAAAATATATAAAGAACTCATGCACCCCCCCAACAAACAAAAAGTGAACAATCCAATTAAAAAATGGACAGAGGAACTGAACAGACAGTTCTCCAAAGAAGAAATTCACATGGCCAACAGAGACATGAACAGATGCTCCACATCACTAGTCATCAGAGAAATACAAATTAAAACCACAATAAGATATCGTCTCACACCAGTAAGGATGGCTACCATCCAAAAGACAAGCAACAACAAATGTTGGCAAGGTTGTGGAGAAAGAGGAACCCTCCTACACTGCTGGTGAGAATGTAAATTAGTTCAACCATTGTGGAAAGCAGTATGGAGGTTCCTCAAAAAGCTCAAAATAGAAATACCATTTGACCCAGGAATTCCACTTCTAGGAATTTACCCTAAGAAGGCAGCAGCCCAATTTGAAAAAGACAGATGCACCCCTATGTTTATCGCAGCACTATTTACAATAGCCAAGAAATGGAAGCAACCCAAGTTTCCATCAGTAGATGAATGGATAAAGAAGATGTGGTACATATACACAATGGAATATTATTCAGCCATAAGAAGAAAACAAATCCTACCATTTGCAACAACATGGATGGAGCTAGAGGGTATTATGCTCTGTGAAATAAGCCAGGTGGAGAAAGACAAGTACCAAATGATTTCACTCATCTGTGGAGTATAAGAACAAAGGAAAAACTGAAGGAACAAAACAGCAGCAGAATCACAGAACCCAAGAAAGGACTAATAGTTACCAAAGGGAAAGGGACTGGGGTGGATGGGTGGGAAGGGAAGGAGAAAGGTGGGGGGGAAGAAGAAAGGGGGCCTTACAATTAGCATATATAATGTGGGGGGTGTACGGGGAGGGCTCTGAAACACAGAGAAGACAAGTAGTGATTTTACAGCATCTTACTCTGCTGATGGACAGTGACTAATGGGGTATGTGGGGGGAACTTGGTGAAGGGGGGAATCTAGTAACCATAATGTTGCTCATGAAATTGTAGATTAATGATGCAAAAATAAATATATATATATATATTTAAAAAGATAGCTGGTTTTTTACTTTCTATAATGTATAATGTTCAAGAGAATTTGTCCTATTTGAAGAATAGTCTCATGATTCCAATTTAATACGTGTCACTGAATAATTGATTTTGACTTATGATTTTAAATAAGTGAAATGCTAATAAAAAGGATAGTTAATGGAGCTTACAAATAACCATTTTAACAAATTTAAAAAGTAAAAGTACTACTTGAATACTTTGAAAGTTGGTCAGTCAGGTCAAATTACTTAAAAAGTGTACATGATATATTAAATATTTGTTATGTTTAAAATTTTTACTAATCTTTAAAGTTTTAAGTACCACCATTAAAGATCTCTTTCAAGTATTATTAAATTATTCTAGTATTATAACTATATAAATTTATAAGCCTAATGAACTAAATTTTAAAATGTATAACTTTAAAAATTTAATATCAATTTTTAAACAAATTTCTGAATCATTTTGTGTCAAAAATCACACATGTACACACACACACACACACACAAAGAAAACCTCAAAAGCATCTAAAATATCTATAAAGTCACATTCAGGTTAATGACTTTTAAGATAAAAATAGTTTTTTTTCCTTAGGAGTACCTATCATACCTGGACTACATAACAAAAAATGAATAAGAATTGTTAGCAATTAGCAATTTGATTCAAAAATGAATTGTGTAATAGTTGGAACAAAAGAGGTGACCAAGCTACATTTACTTTTTATACATGAATTCAGTCAAATTTAATTACATGGAGAGATATAGCTGAAGCTATTAATTACCTAATTTGGCTTACTACCTTCCTACACTCCATTTCACTCAAAGTTTAGTAAATACAAATTTGTAACTAGTAAATGGGTATATACTTAAAGCTATGTTATCCACTTGGTTTAGAGTAATTGACCAGTTAATGGCAGAAAACAAAAGGACAAAAATAATTCAAGCAAATAATTATAAGTAATGAAATTTTAACATAAACACACACATTTGTTTTTCCTTACGTATAGATGCTTGCTTTGCTTATAACTGAACAGTTAGCATTCTCCACATTCAGAGATTCAGTATCTAAGATGTTCAGTTTTTAGTTCTTTAAAGTGGTCCAAGAACATATAGATACTAGCAAAGCAATCAGAATACAGATGCTGTCAGCCTATATTCCTTATCTCAGCCTTTCACAGTTCTTGCTCATCCCTAGGGACCCATTTTTTATTGGCTCACCTTTATTTTTTCTGTAGCATTCAACTTGATTTTCAGAGAAACAAAAGTAGTTCTAGTGTATCTACATACATAGGTGCATAGGTACAGAATACATATGTATATAGTGAAACTGTATACAGTTGACACTTAAACATCACATATTTGAATTGCATGCAGACTTTTTTCAATAGGTATATTAGAAAATTTTTTGTAGATTTACAACAATCTGGAAAACATTTTCTCTAGCTTACTTTATCATAAAAATATGGTATATAATACATACAACATACAAAATATGTGCTAATTGACTTTCTTGGTAAGGCTTCTGGTAGTGAAAAGTTATATTTGATTAATTAGGGATTGGGGCCCCTAACCCCAGCCTTATTCAAAGGTCAACTATATTATAAAATTCTAATGAATTATAACCTTCTCATATCAGTCCCCCATATCACTGCCATAAATGAGTAACTTTATAATATATCCAAACTGATTTTGACCTAGTTGAGTCCTGACATGTCCAGCAAATGTGCAAGAAGGAAGGGAGAGAGGGAGGGAGGGAGAGAGAAAAAGAGGGAGGGATATCACAAGAATTTAAGTTCCACTTTTTTTACCTTTGTTATAATGGGCAATATCAAGTATATATACAGAAGTGATGTCCTAGAACCAGCTCATACAGACTCATAAGAGTTCATTCTTAAATTTTCAGGAAGTGTCAGTGAGTCACATTGGTACCTTGAAAGTGGCTCTGGAGGAAGTGTTTATACCATGGAAACTGGTAAGTGCAGCACATCAGCTTGTTACTTTTTTGGGGTTGGGTAGGGGATGGGTGCAGGGAAAAGCTGTTAAACCTTTACCAGCTTACCATTGTAGAAAGGGCATCACATAGCACTAAAATACATGCTACAGATATATTTTTGTCATATTCTTAAAGTATTGAAGGTAATTTTGGACAGTGAATCTTCAAAATATTCCTGCAGAGCATTTCTAAATGTGTTACCCCAATGTCCTCAAGAAGAAAAAAAGAGTACTGTGGCAGGCCCAATGAAAAAATCAGTAGAACATCCTGCCTTCCACTCCAGGCTTGACCTGTTAAATTATATTCCACTAATTGTTAAAAATAACTGTCAGCATGCATTTTTAATTTTTGGATGAGAGACTAAATGACTTTGTATTTGTGTGTGTGTGTTTGTGTGTTACTTTTACGATAGAACTGAGAAAATTCCCATAACAACCAATTTAAAATATAAGAAACAAGTCTCCCCTCCCCCCAGCCTCAGTAGACCTCTCCCTGTCATTTCTGTTTCTTAGAAAGATACTTCATTTACCTGCTCCAGAACTTTATTAGACTCCATACTTTTATTGGGCTTAACTGGGATAATAGGTGGAGAATTGTACCTACAAAATCTAAATTGGTTTATATAAGACAGAGAATTGCACTTGGGAAAAAATAAGAAAACAAGTGATTTAGAAGAAAAGGGTAATGTAATAGGCTAGAGTTTTGAGACACACTAGGGAAAGAAATTTAAGAAATAACTGCCACTATGAGGGGGACTTTAGGGAGAGAGATATGTAAAAGAGATTTTAAAACCTAATAGCAATAATAAACTTTTACTGATTATTAATTATGTAACAGGTACTGTTCTAAGTGGTTTACATGTATGAATTCAACTTAATCCTCACAACAACCCTGCAAAATAGTTATGTAGTTTTAGCATCTTCTACTTTACATGTGAGAAAACTGGAAATATTGAAAATAAATATATCACCTAAGGTCAACCAGCCAAAAAGTGGCAGAGCTGGAATTCATATCCAGGCATTCTAGCTCTTGGCTCATTCACTTAACCATTAGAATGTAAATATTTATTTATAAAATAAGCTTTATAGACACATCAAAAATGTACAGACAACATCAACAAAGACATTTTACCTTTCAGTAGTTTTGGAATTAAGATTTGTGTGTCTTTTAATCGTTAGAGATTTGAACTAACTTTGATAGAGTATAGTTTTATTCAGATCATACAAGTAAAATTTAAAAAATCAAAAAAACAATATCCTAGTCACTATGACATTCAAAGAAAATTAAATATGAAATGAATTGTGCTGTTTAGTGTGCTGTGGCTAAAAGCTGAAATTTAATAAAATCCCTATTGCAATGTGCAGTTTTTGCAACTTACAGGTATATAGTTTCGCATATAAAAAGCTTTACAAAAATGTTCTCATACTCTTCTTCTTAAAATGGGAGTTATAAGATAGAGCCTTGTAGGCTGAGTAAAACTCAAGAAATATAAATTCGAAGTTTATTTTGCATTAGGCAGTAACTCATGAGAAAATAAAGTTTAACCTTTCTATGCATATGCTATCATTGGGAAAACATCCACTTAGTTGGTTGTGGCCAGAAGTCCAGTTTTTGACCTGTACTCAAAGGTTTATGTGCTGGCAATATTCAAAATTAATGAAGTGAATACTCCATTTAAGCACTAACAACAGAGTACCAGGAAAAGGCCAGAAGGGAAATAAGAGATGAACCAGGGTTCAGAAAAAAAGTCAACTAGAGTAATAATCTGGCATTGGAATCGTAACTTTTACACAGTCACCCTCCCCACCCCCAAGTCCTTTTAGCCTCTGTCTTCTTATAAAGGGGAATAGAATTTCATCAAATCTAAGACATAATCAGTTGTAAGATGCATCACTGATTCAAGGGGAGCTAATTTTTTTTAAAAATCAGCCAATTAAACTGATACACATTTTCTTATAACTTAGAATTATTATTTAATACTTGTTTTAAAAAAGTATTTTTGTGTGTAAATGCTTTGTATATCTTACTTTTTGCACCTTTAACAAAGGAAAATAGAATAAAAATAAATTGGTAAAGGAATCCCAAAACCTCTTCTCAGGAACTTATTCTTTTGGATTACTTCCAATAAAGAGTCTTTAATTCCTCTGTTTCCCCATTCAGATCACTGTCAGTGCTCTTAAAATATGCCCCAGTATTGTCTTTGCGTTCTTCTTCCAGTTTCTGACATTCTGCAAGTTCTGATGCTGGTGTTTTCTTGATCTAAACTAAGTGGAGAGTTTCAAGTAATGATCAAGACCTTCTACTATAAACTAAATGTTTGCATACCTCCAAAATTCATGTGTTGAAATCTAATCCCCATTGTGATGGTATTTGGAGATGGCGCCTCTGTGAGGTTGATTTAGGCCATATGGGTGGAGCCCTCATGAATGCAACTAGTGCCCTAAACAGGCCCCAGAGAGCTCCCTTGCTCTTTCCACCATATGAAAAAACAGCTGTAAGACAACCATTCATGAGGCAGGAATGAGTCTTTTATCAGACACCAAATCTGCCTGTGCCTTGATCTTGGACTCCCAGCCTCCAGAACTGTAAAAAATAAGTTTCTGTAGCATATACGCCATCCCCTGGTTATTTTATTTTATTTTATTTTTTTGTCTATGGTTCTTTTATAGCAGCCCAAATGGGTTAAGACACTGTCCTATTTGGGTCCTTACATAGTTTATGATTGAGACCTCAGGGGTTTTAGTTTTCCCATCATGCACCCCAAAACAACAGCCTTGGTCAAGTACATTCAAGCAGTAACACATCATCACTTCCATGTGGTCAGAGTCATCTTAAGTTTCTATCAATTGTTAGATGCATCCCAATTTCAGAAAAGTTGAAATATGCATCTTAGAATCAATAAAATTTACACTTTAGAATAAATAAAGTGTTTAAGCTGCTCCATGTTAACTTGGGTAAACCAAATCAAGAATTTTAGCACCATTTTTTGGTGTGGTGAAACAATTGCTGATTAATTTAACCTGTCTATGTGACTTTTCCTTTCATAAAAATACCATCCTTCCTAACTTTGTTGTACTGGAGTCCTCTACATTGCCCTCTCTGCTTGGGTCTAAAACGATTATCATGTCAGCAAAGCCTGCTTTCCCAATTTCTCCTTCCTTGGGCAGAGTGTACCTTGTAAACCCCCTTCTCTCAAAAAAGGACCAAAATTTTTATGCAAAGTAGTAAGGTACCTAATAAGGTACTTCTCAATTTTAAGTTTAGCAGTACAAGCTCTACAATCCCTTCTTTAAGCCAATGGACAAATGTGTCTCAGAACTCTTAATTTTCTTTCAATTTTAAAAGGATATCACACATGTACCATGTCCTGTGCAACCCTAATAGGGTTTAGGTGGCACCCTATAGTCACATATATTTATATTTCTGTACTAAATTGTGTGAACTGTAATACTAAGAGGGAAAAAGGCCATAAATGGCCTCATGTAAATTCAAGCTGGATTTGGCCACCAAATGAGATCAGATCAGATAAATTTTACCACCCAGAGAGTTACACAAATCTTTTAATTTTCTCAAGAGAGTGGAACCCAGAATTGCAAATACAGGGTTTTGTATCTAAGTTAAGCATAAAGATTCCAGTTTTTGCATAGAGTTTTCAGCTTGGGCCAGAAGATGATGGTATTTCAGAAGGATGGAGGAAGTGGCAAGTTTTCTCAGTTCCCAAGTAATCACATCATATTTGGAGAAATGTACAACATTCACACTTGAAGTTAGCCATGTGGCTTTCAAATTTTTCCTCATTGCATAACCTTCTTCCTCCTTGAATTTCCTCACCTCAGTAAATGGTATCACAAGCTACCCAGTTGCTCAGCCAGAAACTTACAGTTTTTCTTGATTCCTTCCTCATCTCTCCACATATCAAGAAGTCTTACCAATCCTACTTCCAAATATGCTCTTTTGAAGCACATATGTTATAGGGCCTATAATATCCACTCCCCATTTTAAGCAGCTACTTCCCCAATCCAAGCCACATCATGTCTTTGAATTGAAACAACATTTTAATACTTCTCCTAGCAAACATTCTTCACAGAGCCAGAGTGATCTTTCTATTGCAAATCAGATGTCTCCTTCACCTGCTTAAAAACTACAAAACTCTTACCACGACCAAGGCTTTGAATGGCCCAGACCTCTCCTCCTGCCACTCTCCCTTCACTTGCTCTACTTTATTGATCCTTATTGGCATTCTTTCTGTTCTGTAAATAAGCAAACTCTTTCCTCTTTCACAGCCTTTGCATGTGCTACCTCCTTGGGGAAGCAGTTGGGGACACTGAGTCTCTAGACTTTTGTCTTGCTAGCTCCCTCTTATCCCTTAGTTTGTCTCCTCAGATGTCAATGCTTTATTCAGGACTTCCCTGGCTCCCTATCCAAAATTGATCTAACCCCCAATCACTCAGCATATTACCCTGGTTGATTTTCTTCAGGGTTCTCACCATTATTTGAAGTTGTCTTGGTGAACTGTTTCTAATTTACAGGGCTCTCCCTATCTTCCAGAATTAAGTTCCACACAGGCAAGGACTATTCATCATTGTATCTCCACTGCCCAGACCAATGCCTGGTATATAGCTAAGTCTCATTAAATATATTTCAAAGGAATGTTTGAAAGCCCAGTAATTGATAGTTTAACACACTGATTCTATTATGGCCATCATTCAGATTAGTAGTGTTCCTGGTTCATCCAGCTGTGCCCCCACAAATTGGAGTAGACAGTAGATATTTCAGAGAATAGTAATATGTCCAGAACACCAAAGCATGGGAATATTTTAGTTCATTTGATATTTTCACTACCCTAAAATATTTGTATTTGGGTACAATTTTGATATTTGGCTACTACTATAAGTCTGTAACTTGGATTTTATTTAGTGAATGCTTTCTGTGAGCCATAGTTACAATAGGACTTGAATATATGATGTTATTTTATCCTT